TCAAAAAAGTAAAATAATAAAACCTACACTTCTCTCCACTACGTATCCTACTCCCCCCACCCCAAAAAGGCTTCACTTTGTATCTAGCTGCACAAGATGTGAACATTGCCTTGACTGGTCCTCTCTATTTCCAATCCACCAAATTCATTTTAATCTAAAGATCCAACTGAAAGTCATCCACTTCATCCTATCTCCATGCCAAGATTCCAGTCCAAGCCTTCATAATCTCTCACAGCTCTTACTGTGATGGAGCCTCTCCAACCTGCTCTCTTTGATTTACTTCTTTGAGTAGGTGTGACCTTGTTGGAAGCAGTGTGCCAATGGGGGTGGTGGACTGTAAGCCCATGCCAGGGGGCCCAGTCTCTCTTGGCCTATGAATCAGGGTGTAGCTCTCAGCTACTGCTCTAGTGCCATGCGTGTTGGCACGCCCCCCCCCCCATATGATGACGATGGACTAAACCTTCGACACTGTAAGCAAGTCCCCAATTAAATGCTTTCTTTATAAGAGGTGCCTTGGTCATGGTGTCTCTTCACAGCAATCGAACAGTGACTAAGACACTCATGAGGTGACATCCATATATCCTGCTTTCAACTCCTCTAGAATGTCTTCCTCTTTGCTGCCCCACGGTGTCTGCATATGAATCTCACTCACTTCTACTTCAGATAGCATTCCTGTTTAAAGTCATCTATTCTTAGTTTATATTTTGTTGCAAACCTTGGCTTTTGCTTTACTACTCGAGTATAGCTTCACATGAGTTCTTCCTGGACAAGTCTCACCATCTATTTCCGCTGTGAGACCTGCCGTCCTTCCCTGATCCTGGAGTAAAGCACTGCTGCACCGCTGCCCCCTCAGTCTGTGGCGCAGGGGGCCTAAAAACTTTGCTGCAGGAGCCTATGCTATGATGCCAGCCAGATCAGGACAGCCACAGGCTTCTGTGTGATACACCCAAATCTCCATGTTGGAAGACACCTCCTAGAGCAGTCAATCAGAAGAGCTCAACTGCTTGCTCAACATCTCACCTCTCCAGCAGCTCTGAGTCGGAAGACTGTTCAAACTGTAAGCATGGGTGGCACACAAATTCAACACCACTGCCTCGAAGCTGGCACCGGAATAAGAGCAGAGCAGCCTCCTTCAACCTATCCCTCTGTGCACTAGAGCAGCAGGCACAGCAGGACACTAGAACAACTTGTGTTTTGTTCAGACAGACACCAATGTTTCCGTTAGAAAGTGGCTTGGGTTGGGATTCAGGAAGGCACACACAAACATTCAGGGAATTGTCCCAAGGAATTTCTGCCTAAATGAGAATTTCAAGATTCTTTATTATTAAATGTTTTGTTTTAAATAGGTATCTCAAAAAAACTCCCTTCAAAAAACTAGGGTCTAGTTACAGGTTTGAGTGAGGTGGCAACTAGATTCAGTTAAGGCACTTCAAGTGAAGATGACTTTAAACATGCAGAAGCTTGTGTTAAAAGAAAACAGGCGTGGTGGTGCAGACCTGTAATTCTAGCACTTGACAGAGGCAGGAAGAGCTACAAGAAGGCTAGCCTGAGCTACAAGAGTTCTTGTCTCCATCAATCAATCAACCTAAAGAGAACATTCTCAATGACTATTCACCACATTAACTCTAAACTACCAAACCAGCTACTCCTTCAAGTCTACCATGGGAATTTCAAAGCAAAGTTTTTAAACTTTGAGGTCAGGCTGCAGAGATTGCTCAGCAAAAACAACACACTCTTGCTTATGTAGAAGATTCAAGTGCGGCTCCTAGCATCTGTGCTGGTTGTTCAAAACTGCCTAAATACCAGCTCGGCAGATCTGACATCCTTGTCTGGGCTCTGCAAGCACCCTTCCCACACTACATTGGAACTCACAGAGATCCGCCTGCCTCTGCCTCCCGAGTGCTGGATTAAATTTTTTTTTTTGATGTTTCATTTTATATGCATTGGTGTGAAGGTGTCAGATCTCCTGGAACTGGAGTTACAGACATTTGTGAGCTGCCAAGTGGGTGCTGGGAATTGAACCAGGGTTCTCTGGAAGAGCAGCCAGTGCTCTTAACTGCTGAGCCATTTCTCTAGCCCCTTAAAATAAATCTTAAACAGCAAAAACACTGCTTTATTAAAAAAGAAAGTTTTTCGTCTATCTTAGAGAAAGCTGTGAAGATCCCAAACCGAGCTCTATTTGCAAAAGAAGGAACAACAAACACCCACGGCAGATTATCAAGGTGTAAACTGGAGTGGCAAGACAAAGGCAGACCAGCACTGTGACAGGGACAATCGAGCCTGCTCTGAAATGGCATTTGGGCCCTACCAGGTACAGTAGCCAGCCACAGGGTACTTAAGCTGAAAAGATGTTCTACATTTTAAATTTTTGTTGATTTATTTAATGTATATGGGTGTTTTGTCTACATGTATGTGTCTGGTGCCTGTGAAAGCCAGAAGTGGGTGTTGGATCCTCTGGAACTGGAGTTACAGATAGTTGTGAGCCACCATGTGGGTGCTGGGAACAAAACCTGGGTCCTTTGAAAGAGCAGCAAATGCTCTTAACCACAGAGCCATCTTTCCAAACTCACTGTTCTACATTTTTGACTCTGTGACTCAAGTGGCTGGAGAGATGGCTCAGTAGTTAAGGGCACTTGTGGCTTGTGGTGATATTTTGTTTGTGCTTTAACAAATAAAGCTTGCTTGAAGATCAAGTGTGGAGCTAGCCACTAGTTAACCACAGAGTCCAGGCAGTGGTGGCACACATCTTTTAATCCCAGCATTTAGGATATCATGCCTTTGATCCCAGCACTCAGGAGGCAGAGGCAGTCAGATCACTGTAAGTTCAAGACCACCCTGAGCTACACGAGATTGATCCAGTCTAAAAGAGAAACAAAGCCAGACAGTGGTGGCTCACACCTTTAACCCCAGTATTTGGAAGTCACGTGCCTTTAATCCCAGCACTAGGGAGGTGGAGACAGGAGTGATATGGCTGGGCGGAGAGAGGAATATGAGGCAGGAGAAAGGGGCTCATTGCCTTCAGTCTGAGGATCCCTAGGGACAGGATTGCACACTTGGTCTGAGGACTCAGTAGAGATAAGAATTAGTGGTTGGCTACATTGCTTCTTTGGTCTTTCAGCATTAACCCCTATATCTGACTCTGGGTTTTTATTATTAAAACCAATTAGAATTAGCACTACAGTTGCTCTTGCAGAGGACTGGGGTTCAATTCCCAGTGGGGTTCAATTCCCATTTATAAGCCCAGTTCCAGTGGATCCAACAAGCATGCACATGGTTCACATATGTGCACACAGGCAAAACACATAAAATAAATATTTGAAAAAAATTTTTTAAGAAAGTTATGTTCCCACCTGATTTAATGTTTATAGAAGTATTTTTTAAAAAAGAAGAATGGGGCTGGAGAGATGGCTCAGGGGTTAAGAGCACTGAATGTTCTTCCAGAGGTTCTGAGTTCAATTCCCAGCAGCCACATGGTGGCTCACAACCATCTGTAATGTGATCTGGTGCCCTCGTCTGGCACGCACTGTATACATGATAAGTAAATAAATAAATCTTAAAAAAAAAATAAAAAAGAAGAATTTGAGATTCCAAATACTTATGAATCAATATTTCACTAAACGAATAGGGAACAAAGGGACCAGAAAAGGAGACCTTCCTAAGCATAAAACTCTGAGCCCTAAAACAGTACTAGTCTTCATCGTTTCTGTAAAATTAATAGCCATACTTTCAGTATTTTATATAGATCTGAACAAGCCTGAGTACTCCAGTAACCCTGTGTGCATGCTCCTGCTCTACTTGCTTACAGCAGGGGAAAGAATGGAGCTCTCAGCTCTGGAAGCAGATCTCAGCCTCTGGGCACAGCTTCACAGCAGCAGTTCTGTAAACACAGGGAATGTGAACTGGCTTCCCCAGCCTTTAAGACAGGATCAACCAGTCCACACCCGTGAGAGGCCGGTAACTCACAGTCACTGAGAACTGAGATCATGCCAGAAATGAAACTCCCGCCTCCTTACCAGAGCCCCCTTTAAAAGGCCACGCTGGCCCCAACCTAAGCCAACCAGTATGGCAGAGCCTAAGAAAATGGAAAGGGCCCAAGGAAAACGAATGCCCAAGTCTCCTTGGTGTTGAGACTGAGTTCCAACCTGGAACAGCCAAATGAAGAGAGTTAAAGAAAAGCATTCGATGAATCTAGCAGAGCATTTCACACCCCAGGGACTCAATTTCTCCATGGCACGGGCACCTCCTATCTTACCACTGACACTTCCAATTGACAGCACTCTCATGAGTGCAAAAACAACTTTTTTTAAATTAAAGATTAAATCAAAAGGAGCAAAGGAATCTGTTTTCCAGGGTAATTCTGCCATCCTGGGACTGTGCAGGAATGCACCTACTATGGAATCTTCCCACACTCCTGAGTAACCCGTAGAGGCACGTCCCATACACTCCCGAATATCTAAGCTGGCAAGAGCAAGTGTTATTCAAAGACCTCAGCCCTGGGACAATAGCTCCTGTCAGTCACCTATAGTTCTCACGACTCTGCTTCTGTTCTTCGACTTCATTCCAAACACAAATCACACCTGTGTAAGTACCTGAGAAAACCACACCACTGGATTCACACAGTAGCACAGTGATTTTGGACAGATACCAATATTAATATTGCTGGTAAAATGCAATTTACTTTTAATTTTATTAATTTTAAAAAATTTTTTGACACAGGGTCTCTTTTTGTAGTCCTGGCTGTCCTAGAACTCTCTGTAGACCAGGCTAGCCTAACACTCACAGAGAACCATCTGCCTCTGCCCCCCAACAGCTGGAATTAAAGGTGTGTCCCACTAAACCCAGCTACAATTTTATTTTTAATACAAGGACTCAGATGAACATATGACCCCAGGCATCTACACAGCAGATTTGACAAGGAACCTGAGACACCAGTAACATGTGCTTGAATCCATACAAGAAGGCCTCTGTGAGAAGGCAGAAACCGGCAGCCCGTCACTTACCTGAGGCCAATGGTCGAATCCACTCTTTGCTATTTAGGTCGAGCCTCCAGAGGTCATTGAAGGCAGCATTGCAACTGCTCTGGGTACAGCCTCCAAAGACATACATAGACTGATTGGCATCATAATAGCACGCACCTACAGGGGTGGGGGGTGGGGGGGAGCAAAAAACAAGTGACTCAAGGTTAATTAAGAGGTATCTTCAACACCTTAACCATACCAAATTATTTCAAAATGCAAATTATTCCACACATTCAACAACTCCTCTGTTCCAGACACCAAATTCCTATCCCTACATCTTGTCCTCAGATGGATCAATATCATATTATCCTTGCAAAAGAAGCCCGGGGAAAAGCTGTAAACATTTCTTTTGTTAATTAATACTTGTAACATTGTAAGATTTATTTTCGGGGCTGGAGAGATGGCTCAGAGGATAAGAGCAGTGACTGTTCTTCCAGAGGTCCTGAGTTCAATTCCCGGCAACCACATGGTGGCTCACAACCACCTTGGATGAGATCTGGTGCCCTCTACACTGGCATGCAGGCAGAAGACTGTATACATAATAAATAAAATCTTTAAAAAAAAAAAAAGATTTATTTTTATTTTATGTTTATGGGTGCCTTTCTTACACATATATAATGTGTACCATGTATATGCAGTGTCCATGGAGGCCAGAAGAGGATGTTAGATCTCCTGAAACTGGAGTCACAGACAGTTAATAGTTACTGTTTAGATGCTGGGAAAAAAAAAGATTTATTTTTATTTTATGTTTATGGGTGCCTTTCTTACACCCATAAACAGAACCCAAATCTTCAGGAAGGGCAGCCAGTACTCTTACAGGCAAGTCATCTTTCCAGCCCTAAATGTCTGATTTCTTTTATATATATAATGTGCATAAGTGTTTTGCAGGCAATCTGTGTAAATGTGCAGGATCCCCTGGAACTGCAGTTACAGACAGTTTGTGAGCTGCCATGTGGTGCTGTGAATTAAACCCGGGTCCTCTGGAAGAGCAGTCAGTGCTCTTAACCACTGAGCCATCTCTCCAGCCCCTAAATGTCTGATTTCTGAGCACTAACTAAACTAACAATAACATCATGGAGCAAGATGGCAGAATTCCAGGAAGAGCAACATGCATTCAGATAGAGAGGGAAGCTTCTCTGAGACCAGCTATGTCACCATCTAAACCGCACCATGTCCTAGAGCAAGGCAAAGCCAGCGTTCACAGATGTCCCTCCTGTATTCCCATGGATTTTTCTCTAAGTTTTGTATTTTCAAATGAAACCTAAAGCACAAATCTTTATATGAAACACAACAATAACTGTGAAAACAGCCCTAACCAGTGCCATGAAAACCACACAGACACCAATGTGACTAAAGCAAGACAGATTTTTGTGAAGTGAAAATACAGCCAAGGAAACAGCAGTTCAAGCCCAAAGCAATTGAAGGGAAAAGCAGAAAGCTACTGGACCCCCAGGCATGCTGGTTGGTGTGGACTAAATAGGACAGTAGGAAATACTTGAAGAGAAGCAAGGCCACAGAAGAGCCACAGTTGGTAATCGATCACAAGCACATCACCTGAGCATTCCCAAGAAATAGAGGCAAAGAAAAAGGCTAAACCCAGAAAGACCTAACCCTGAGTTCAGGCAAGAGGTGGGAAAGCTGAGCTCTGCTGGCATCTCCCTGAAGGCTCACCCAGCTGCTGTCCTTAGGAAAGATGAACACAAGCCCTGCAGCCTCACACTTACCAGTGGGCTCCAGGAAGAGACTAAACAAAGCTTCTCTTTGTGTCTACATCATGCTACACAGGCCGAAGGGGGGTACCCCCATTTCTCATATGAAACCAACAATTGGTGTCACATGAAAGGAAGGAGTTCTGAGACACTAGCGCTTCACTGCAGGGATCACCTAGCTATCCGCCTGTGCAGTTCAGTCTCACGAACCACTGCTTTCAGGTCTCTTTTCAATTATAAAGCCACCAACTCAAGCTCAGAAAAAAGGAAATGCTCCTACACTGCACCCCACCCCACCCTCTATCGGCTGCCACTGTTACAGTAACAGCAGTGGAGAACACCAGCTCTGGAAGTTACCAGTTCTCTCATCTGTAAGCAAGCTCATTACGAAGGCCATGTCTGCTCTCCTCTGTAAGCAAACTCATGATGAAGGCCATGTCTGCTATGCATTTCATCAGTTGCTCCAGTAATCCCAGGAAGGGAGTAAATGACTGCAGATGTCACTGCAGTAACAATGAATGCAGTGCTTGCACGGACTTGTTCCCATGCTTGCCCTGCACTCACAGCAGTGATACAGTGATACATGGAGCTTTAAGTGTTCTCGTCAGTCTATGTAGCCCTGACCTGGACCTCGCTCTGTATACCAGGCTAGTCTAGATCTTACAGAGAACCATCTGCTTCTGTCTCCAAGTGTTGGGATTAAAGGTATGCGCTACCACACCTGGCCTTTAAATGTTAACTTGTTTATGGACTCTTGTTTTTGGTCTAAAAATAATTTTGAGGGGCTAGAAGTTTTGTCAGCTCGGAAGTTAAAAGCACTGGCTGTTCATTCAGAGGACTGGGGTTCAATTCCCAGCACCCACATGGAGGCTCCTAACATCCATAATTCCAGTGCCTGTAATCTGACACTCTGTTCCGACATTTGAGAGCACTGCATGCACTTGGTGCAAAGACATACATGCAGGCAAGACAGCCATACACATACAGTAAAATAATTTAAATCTTTAAATAGTAATTTTGAATTTATATCTAAATGAGTTACTTTGTCTTCACAACAAAAAGTCTGTTTTAAAAGTAGAGTCTAGCGCCGGGCGTTGGTGGCGCATGCCTTTAATCCCAGTACTCGGGAGGCAGAGGCAGGTAGATCTCTGTGAGTGAGTTCGAGACCAGCCTGGTCTACAAGAGCTAGTTCCAGGACAGCCTCCAAAGCCACAGAGAAACCCTGTCTCGAAAAGCAAAAACAAAACAAAAAAAAGTAGAGTCTAGCAAGGTCTAAAAAGCAAGTTCCAGGCTAATCAGGGCCACACTAAGCTCCTGTCTCAAAATAAATAATGTAATACAAATAAATAGAGTAAAAAGGTAGAGTCTACTAAATCCCATTACTCACATCTGCTAAGAACTGTAAATAACAAAGAATTAAGTTAAAGAGAGGAATGAGGATAATTCCTTTTTCTACATCTGGATCTCAATTAAAGAAACTCACCAGCTCCAGGTTATCTTGGTCCCACAGAGACAAGGTCTCACTGTATAGCCCAAGCTTGCCTTGAGCTTGTGATTCTTCTGCCACAGCCTCCTGAGTACTAGTTCAAATGTGGATTACTCATCTGGATTCCCTCAGACTTGGGATAAACTAGTAATTTCAATGAATGAGGCAATTATAAAGCACTAACAGTATTCTAGAACTTCTGAAATGTAACGTTTATCACAACACATGATAAAGCAAATCCAGGCCAGCAAGATGGCTCAGCTGGTAAAGGTGTTTGTGGACAAGCCTAATGACCTGGGAACCACATATACAAATTTACACAAATAAATTAAATAAATAATATATGGTAAGGCAAATCCCTGATTTCCTACTAGGATAGCCAAGGCTAGTTTATGTTGCCCTGTCTATACACAACTCTTAGCAGCAGTTTCCCTCATGTAGCAAAAGTGCAGAGTGCCTTTATTTTTCAAAGCGATAGCAAACATTCTTCTCCTCTATTTGGATTGAAAACCCAGCCAGTTGGGCCCCATGAGGTCCTTCACATGTATTTTAATCCTAAACTAAAATAGGTCAGGCTGCATTTTCCTGTTTCTCTCTGAACAAAGGTTTTTGAAGCGGGAATATGGGGCCCAAAGCTAAGGTATTGAGATGCAAGTGACACACAGCTGTTTCAGTGACCATTGGTCAAGTACTGGTGAAGCAGGGAGAGAAAGGGAGTCAATTTAGAGAACAATGTTCAGAACTCAGATACAGTAGAACAAGAACACATCACATTACTGAACACGGTGCACACAAGTTTGAGGACAATATAGTCTATATAATGAATTCCAGGCCAGCCAGAGCTATATAGTAAGACTTTATCTCAAAATCCAGAAAGAAAATAGGACCCTCAAAGATTCTAATAAGCATCTCATTGCTTTCCCTTGTTTTTATTTGAGACACTGAAGTGGTAATGGCAGTGGGAACTCCCAACAAAATGAAGAATGTAACCAGCTTTCAGTCCCAACTGTTAATTGCCTTGTCCTCAAATAAGTTTCCTTCCAGAACATCTAGACCTCTGGAATGTCACAACTCTTAGAGCTCACAGTGGCATGAACACTGCACTAAGCAACGTAGAGGCTGTGTGTTCCAACTGTTAAATCTCCAAACTTGCCCAAGTAGGTTTGCCTGCTCTGTGAATAGCTATTACAAAGACATCTATCTCAAACTGTCAATATCTAAAGGCAAACTGCACAGCCACAATTTAACTGTACGCAGGCAAGTCAACAGTTCTTCACAGACCACATAGTTTTCTACTGAATTACAATCATCTCAGGCACAAGATCTTTGGGAATCTGGATTTCCATGGTACCTGGAACAACCCCCAAATGCTCCCTGAGTGAGCTGTATACTCTAAACGTTCAGGAGTTTCAGATGTTAGGCTCTCTTTTGTTTCCTGCCGTCACCAGGGAAAGGCCCTGAGGCATGTATCCCATGCAGAGAGAGACTAGGCAGTTATGTGTCTCCCATCTACAAGCTGGAACATATTTGATAAGGTCTGTAATTACATAACTCAGGACAGGCGAGGGTGGTGATCCAGCCTGGGCCTGCAGGCTCCTGCAAGCGCCAGATTAGGAGTGTGTGGAACTACCCGACTATATGAGAAGCCTAAACACTTCAATGTTGGGGATTCTCTGTAGTAATCTGACAGGGGTATCCTCTGTTAACCAGGGCTGGCGTGATTAGACTTGCAGACATTCACCAAAGATTACAAAACTGGCCTTTTTACTTCACCTGCCTTTTCTGTTCCAGGCTTTTAACATAGGAAAGATCTTGTACTGGACATATATTTGTTGTGTCTATGTCTTTATAATATTTTTTAATTACTCATGTGTGTGTATGCATGCCAAGGTGTGCAGAAGTCGGTTCTCTCTTCTGTGTGGGTCCTGGGAATTGAACTGAAGTCCTCAGTCTTGGTGGTAGGTGCCTTTCTATGCTAAGCCACTGACCCATATTTGTTGTGGCTAAGCCTACAAATCTTGACAATTATTAAAATGTATTCATATTGATGTAGAAGGCACTCAAATAGAACTGATGTTATAAAGGATTTACTAGTAGATCTGCTTAGGAGACATCAAGGCACATACAACAGAACTTAACTTAGGGAGCTGCCTCCTAAGTACCAAAAAGATGAGTAGTCTACTACCCAGGCCTGTTAGAGACAAGGATGCTAATGTTCACTCATCTGTATTAACCAGCTATTGGGTTCCACTTTCATAACAAAGGAGGCAGCCCTGACTTACAACCAATCATTAGGCCCATCACCATTTGAGCTCAAGGGGGCAACACGGGTTCACAAAAAATATTAAGTCCTGGCCTGCCATATGGCACCTCAGTTCTCTTTTTGAAAAAAAGCATAATTCTGCCAGGTGAGCAAGATGACCCTGGGTAACAACTATTTGAAAAAGAGTAGCATTGATGTAATAAAAATGATTCTGGCAATATCTTTTCTGTGTAGACCGCCCATCTGCCTAAGTGACCAGACTTGCAGTCTCCTAACTCTACTTAAATTGTTCAAAGTATAATGTGAGACAGGGATCCAAGAGATTTAAGTATGACAATGTATATGAAATGCCTAAGGTATATGTCAGCTATGTAAGCTATAGAAATCTTCTATCCGGAGTCTGGTTCCTCTTCAGGCATTAGCCAGAGCCCAGCATGCATTACATTAAAGAGCTTTATCCTTTATTAATCTCTATGTGCCTGGAGTGATTTCTCACTGGAAAGCCATATTAATTCTAGAACTAGTTATGAACTGGATGCTAAGAGGTACAAGCGTGTCTACAATGTAGGACCTATCCTCAAGTACACAACCCCCACAGAAGAGACAGCACGCTCACATCCAACAGCCTAAAGAATGTCTTGACCAGTGCTTCTCAACTACACTTTTCGGCAACCTGTAACATAAACAGTATTTGCTACATACATCTTACAAATAAAGAAACTGGGTAAGAAGCCCGAGGAACTTGGTTCCCAGATAAAAAGGTCTTTGCTGTTGACGAAGCTTCTCTGGCAAAAACAATGGTAATGAGGAAGGTGCGGGTGTCAGAAGAGCAGAGTGACAGAGCAGTCCCCTCAGTGGAGACGGTGGTGCTCCAGCAGGGTGACCTTTTCTGTTTGTGTAGGGCGTAGGATCTAGTTGTAGTTCGTCTAGCTTGAGATGGAGAGAAGAGAAGAGGACACTCAAATATGTATGGGGGCTGGGTGGGGGCAAGGAATTCACTTCATGTTTGCTTTGAATGAGGCTCAGGGTTTAACCTCTAGCACAAGGGGAAAAATGAGGAATGTGTTATGATGGTGTAGAGGTGTAATGATCAGATTATGGATTAAGAGTGATAGGAAAAAAGAAAACGCTTAAGGCAGAACAAAAACTTGGCTTTTTGTTTTACACAGAATCTCAGGCAGCCTGGACAGACCTCAGACTCACGAGGTAGCCAGGACTGGTCTTGAACTCCTGACCCTCCTGCCTCCACTATAAGCATGTACCATTACATCCAACTTGGATCTTGAGAGCAGAAATTGAGAATGAATCCAATACCTTAAGTCTGCATATCTAAGATGACGGTGACTCACTAAATTAAAGAAGGGAGAAAATGGGGAGGGGTGCTGAGCTCTACTTTTAGCTAACTGGATACGAAACATCCAGTGTCTCCATGGTAACATAAGTGAAGAATTACAAATGCAGATTTTCAATCAACATGAATTAGGGATATGAAGAAAAACTGAGGGATTAAGGATGCAGAGCAGAAAAAGGAAGAAGCCAAGGGGAGAAAAATTAAACCCTTAGTTTTAATTCTAAAATTACATTTATTAGCCCGGTGGTAGCACACGCCTTTAATCCCAGCACTCGGGAGGCAGAGGAAGGTGGATCTCTGGGGCCAGCTTGGTCTCCAGAGTGAGTTCCAGGATAACCAAGACTACACAGAAAATGCTGTCTCAAAAATCAAAACAAAATTATATTTATTTATTCCTTCGTTCACTCATTCCTTCAGTCATTCTGTGTACCTGTGCTGGAACACAAGATATATGTGTAGAGGAGAGAGGGTAATTTTGGGGATTGGTTCTCTCCATCTACAATATAGGTCCTGGGGATCAAACTCAGGCTGGCAGGCTTTGTTGCAAGTACCTTTACCTGTTGAGCCATCTTGTCAGCCCTGGAATTCTTAGTCTTTAATCTATTTTGCAAATTGCCCTTTTTTCTGTAATAGTCCTGCTCAGTTTGTCAGTCAGCTAGGCAGTGTAAAGAGATACATGAAAGAAAGAAAATAGACAGACCAGAAAAAGAAAAACCAATGAGGTAGAAACCTTTTTTTTTTACTACAAGATTACCTATGACTCGTTCCTGGATTTCAAAGAGCATGATGAGCCGCCCTTGCCAGAGGCTCATAGTAACTGGGCCTCTAATCTCTGGCTGGAATGTCCAGCAGTGTGAGGTAAGTAAACCTTTCCCTTCAGAAGCAGAGTGCTTCCAGTGTGCTGGGGTGGTGACATGAAGCTGACTAATGCATCCAGACTCACTCTTCTCTCACTGTGGAACAATCTCAGGGCTGGGGACATAGCCCAGCAGTAAAGAGCTTGCCTTCAGCAAGAGACCCTGACTTCAATCCCCAGCCTTGCAAAATCTAGGCCAACAGTTTCCAGAAACCCTGCCAGTGTTAGCATCCAGGCATTATGCTGGCCTGCCCCATCTCCTGGCAGGATGAGCTTACCAGTACTCAAGTTTGGCAGTATTACAGCTATGCCCCCTCCTTTAAAAGGTGGGGCCCTGCTGCCTGACTCCTCCCCTCCCCCTTCCTCCCTCTGCCCACCCCTTTCTTTCCCTTCCACCAATAAAGAAACCCTCCATGTGAGCCCTTCTTCCCGCCCTATTTTTAATCACAACAGTCAGTATCTCTTCCGCTATTTGTAGTAACTCACGCTGAATCAAATATGGATCCTGAGAGATGAACGTCATGTAGTCTAGCCATTCTAAATCACGATGTGCAAACTCCAGAAAAACTGAGACCTTTTCAAAATTCTTACAATGCCAGCAGTAACGATGGCACTTGCCTTCTGCTTCTGAGACAGAGTTCTGCTGGACAGCCCAGCTGGTCTTGAAACCCCCCTGCCCCTGCTGCCATGACAGGCATACATGGCACTTTTCCCTGGGCTGGCAATGGCACAAACACCTCAGAAGCACTGGGGGAAACAGCTGGTGTTTCAGCATGGGTCAAGGCAGTACCACTGAACTATTCTCTTTTTTCCGGTTACATTTATTGATAGACTCACTGGGGGGAAGGGACACGTGCCACAATGTGAGTGTGGAGGTCAGAGGAACTCACAGTTAAAACATAACTAGCAGGAGGCAGTCCTCCTCCACCATGTGGGGCCTAGAGACAGGACACATGGAACAGCTTGGCAGTGAGCTCCTGCACCCGCTGAGCCAACTCACCTACTTTCAACTACTCCTGTGAACCCAGTGCCCTCCACTGTCACACACGCACAGTTTTGACTTCAGTGAATGCCACAGAGGTGTCAAGGATGTCCTCCTTGGAAAAGGATAGAGCGGCACAAGTACAAAAGTAGCTCCTTGAGATCCACACAGAACACTTTATCTGTCACTTTGGTCTATTTTCATTCAACCCCAGAGCAATAAACGAGTCATACTATTTCTGAACATCTTCAGACAAAAGCATAGCAAACAATCTGGGGGTGGGTGGCACCAAAGGATCTTCCCCTCCTGGTGACCAAGAGAACAGAAAGGAGGCAGTGAAAAGATACTCTGGCTTCCTTCCATCTCAGGTACTCTCTCATCACCACCTGCTCTGCAGTAAGCCGCTGACAGTGTGGCTGGCTCTAGCTAGAGGTCCAGGCAGTAAGAAACTGAGGCCTCCTTTAAAAGGTCACCCAATCCCAAGTGTAAGCTTCAGGACAGTGAAGCTCTGGAGAGCAATGGTGGCAACTCTAGAAAACACTCCTAACCCAGGACTCAGTACTCCATCCCCAAATCCCACACCTTCAACAACAGGTAAGAAATACAGTTTTAAGTGCGCAGTTTTGGGGTCACTTTTTACGACATGGGTAACAAATATATACTCCTTCCCACCAAAAGCTCAAAATATAGCCAGGTGATCACATATGTCTGAAATCCACGCCTTCAGGGGGCTGGAGCTGGAGGAGAATCAAATGAGGCATGACAGCAAGCTAACAGACCCTGGCAATTCATCTGTGGAGGTATCAGGATGAACCACGAGCCTTGACTAGGCAAGCACTCTTCCACTGAGTTGCATGTCAGTCTTCACAACAGGTTTAGATTCACTTTTTCCTAATTCTGTTAGAAACCCTCATTTTACATTCTCTTCATTAAAAAGACAGACAAAATGCAAGCCTCCCAAACAGTTTCTAGAAACACAAGTACAGGCAGCATGGGACCTGCTTTCCCAATGTGGATACTCACTGTGGGAGAACCGCTGAGTGATGGGGGTTCCAGGATAAGGGTAAGTCCTGCTCTCCCACTGAATGTTTCCTTCCTGGACAGCCTTCATGAAACCATGGTAACACTGGTGGGCTACACCTAAAGATGAAAAAACCAGAGGCATCAGCTTGGATACCTAATTTGTGGAGGGAAAAAATCATTAAAATTGTAGCTTTTAACTGTTTTATCACTTGTGTAAAGTCATAAATGTTTTGAGAAGTCCAAATTTCTCTCATTTTCATTCAAAGAAAGGAAACAGAATCAGGAAATGTCAAGATAGAAAGAACTACATTTTACCAAGGCACAGGAGGTTCAGAGATGTGCACAAGTTTACTAAATCAGCTCACACGACAACCCTTGTCCACTTTGGTTATATCATGTGGCAATAAAGATAATGGGTAGCATTACTACAAAGCAAAGGGGGTGGGAGTAACTTATCTTTGTGAAGGAATATGATAAAGCAGTGTCTATAATGTAACAGCTGCTCAAAAAGCTCTGCAGTTAGAGCATGGCAATGAGGAATTCCCCAGCTTAGGTAAGAACATAGATTATTATATAACAGATTATGAAATGTTGAGTGTGTGTCTAAAGGCTGTGTCTTAAAAATTAAGAGCTTGGGTGGGCTGGAGACATAGCTCAGTGTTTAAAAGAACACTTGGCTGCTCTTCCAGAGGACCCATGTTTACTTCCCAGCACCTACACAGAGACTCAGAACAATCTGTAACTCCAGCTCCAGTTGGTGGTGGCACACTCCTTTAATCCCAGCACTCAGGAGGTAGAGGCAGGCTGATCTCTGAGTTTGAGATCAGCCTGGTCTACAGAATGAGTGCCAGGACAGCCAGGGATACACAGAGAAACCCTAACATGAAACACCAAACATAAAATGAAATGTATTGAATATTAGTAAATAAGTGAAGTTCAGGGGAAAGCTGACACCTTTGGCCTCTGAGGAGACCTACACACCCGGCATACACTCTCACAGACACACTCATCTGTGATTCTAAAATAAAATCATGAGAGTCTGAGAGCACAAAGTACTCAGAGACACTGAGAACACAGGTACACCCAAGTGTGGGCCCAAGCTCAAGGAGTGTTGTGGCCCCATCTTTATTTTTTTGGGAAAGCATCGTCTTTCTTTTTTTCTTTTTGAGACAGAGTCTCACTGTGTAGCCCTGGCTGGCCTGGAACTCAATTTGCAGACCAAGCTCACTTTGAATTCACAGAGATCCGCCTGCCTCTGCCACCTGAGTACAGGGGGTGCTCTGGAAGAACACTATGTACTGTTAAGGCATCTCTCCAGCATACTCTTCTTTCTCTTGCCTTTATGTTTAGCATATATTAAAATGTCTCTACTATCCCCCACTTCTGCTTCATAAAAAAATTATTTAAGGGGCTGGAGAGATGGCTCAGAGGTTAAGAGCACTGGCTGCTCTTCCAGGGGGCATGAGTTCAATTCCCAGCAACCACATGGTAGCTCACAACCATCTATAATGAGATCTGGTGCCCTCTTCTGGTGTGCAGGCACACATGCAGGTAGAACACTGTATACATAATAAATAAAATCTTTAAAAAAAATGAAGGTCAAGCTCTGTCTTCTCTCTTACTCTCTGCCCTGCTCTGTTCTTCCATTTCTCTCCCTCTGGCTTTCCCTCCATATCATAAAAAATAGTTAATGTAAAAAAAAAAAAAAAAAACAAAAAAAAAAAAAAGAGGAAAGAAAGAAAGAAAAAAGAAGGTCAAGAGCACTTGAGGAAAGGCAATGGAAGTCAGCCTCAGGTTCCACATCCATGTACTCACATACCTACAGCCACACACTAACAGGTACTTACAACACACACACACACATATACAAACACAGATAAAGACAGACACACCAGGCACACAGCTGTCTGTAACTCCAGTTCTAGAGATATGATGTCCTCTTCTGACCACCATAGGCACCAGGCACAGACAATACATGCAGGCAAAACACTCATACACATGGAACTTGCTTTGTAGACCAGGCTGGCCTCAAACTCACAGATCTGTCTGCCTCTGCCTCCCAAGTGCTGGGGTTACAGGGGTGTCCCAGCACCACCCATCCAAATAAATCAATCTTTAAAAACAAAACAACCATCATTTTGAAACTACAAATTAATTAAATACTATTACTATTATACAACTGTATAGTATTATACATTAATGTTCTAGCTGTTCATAAAATTAACCAAGATAAGAAAAATGTGTTAACTTATCTAATACTAATTTTTACAGCCATAATGTCTTTAAGGGAGAAAAGAAAAAAGGGAGTCTAAGAGTTCTTTTCCATGGCTTTCTGTCCAGGCTATTATTTTTTGGGGGGATGGGGAGTAGGGGTAGGGATTGTCATAGATGCCATCTATATCCCTCTTTCTCAACTGTGAGTCTGCAGTCCTTGATACCACTGCAAAGGTAGCTTCCTTGCCCTTTACAGTCAGCAGAAGCACGGATCATGAACGTCCACAAGGTTTCCAGTGACGGTAAGGACCATAGACATCCACATGGTCTCTGGCCTCAGCACGTGCCACAAACCTCAGCATGGTCTCCAGTGGCAGTACAGACCACGGATGTCAACAGAGTGATCAAAGAGAACTCTTAGAAATTGTGACAAGGGTGCTGAAGAGTAGCTCTCCATAGTTGATGGCTTCTAGCAGGGATGTGGCTGGAGAAGGACTCAGTTTTCTTTAAGGGCTGGCCACCAGGAGTTTGACCATGCTCCAGTGAGTATAAGGACAACACAAATTGGACATGTTTTTCTTTTGTTGTTTTCTTCTTCTTATTGTTGGGGAGGTCACAAAGGTAGAGGGGCAAACTTTGGAGGACTGAGAAGTAAGTATAATCAGGGTGCATGATGTGAAATTCCCAAGAAAAAAAATCAATAAAAATATTATGTTGGAAAAAAAATCACAAATTAAAAAAAAGAAAGAAAGAAAGAAAAAGAAGGCCTGGTATTGGAAGAGTAGGTAAGTGGAGAGGATCTGGGAGGAGATGCGAGAGGGGGAATCATGATCAAAATATATCATAAGTTTTCTATTAATAAAGATAAAAACAAATGAAAAGAGGGGGAATCCAAAACTAAATTACTCAATAAAATAACCATAACACAATCATGTTTATGCAGTTAGGAACTCTTGCTGCTCTTCCACAGAACTGGATTCAATCCCAGCTCCCACAGTAAGTGGCTCGCAGCCTACTGTAAATCAAGATCCAGGGATCTGATACCCTCTTCTGTCCTCATGGGTACCTGCACACATGTTAGCATATACATACACAGACAGACAGACAGACAGACAGACAGACAGACAGACACACACACACACACACACACCTCTTTAAAACACTTGAAATAACCCGTCTTTTCCATAGTACCTTTGATAAGCCGATACCACTGTTTGCAGACCAGAGCTGCAGTTTTGTGTTCCTGATACGGTGAGAGGAAGGACAGGATATACTCCAAAACCTCTTCTGGCAGCTCAGACATGGACCTATTATGTCTTGTCTCTTCAACTTCCAGCACTGGGTGGGATTCCTCTTCTTGCTCCATTGTCCCTTCCAGTACAGTTTCTTCTTGGTCCACAGCCATGAAACTATCATCTTCACTGTCCGAGGAGCTGGCCATGACATCCCACTTGAAGCTGTAGCGGGAAGAAATAAACATTAGTGTATAACTTTCAGAGCACAGAAGCTGCTCGTGGACTCTTTCCTACATAGCATGAAATCGCTCCAGCACTTCCCCACACTAGTTGGGACACTTTCCCCTTCCCCCTAGAACCTCACTCAAGTTCTAGTGTGATCTTAAAACAAGGAAACTGGGACTAGAGAGAAGGCTCAGCAGTTAAGAGCACTCTACAGGGGGCTGGAGAGATGGTTCAGAGGTTAAGAGCACTGACTGCTCTTCCAGAGGTCCTGAGTTCAATTCCCAGCAACCACATGGTGGCTCATAGCCATCTATAATGAGATCTGGTGCCCTCTTCTGACCTGCAAGTATAATTCCATAGGAAGGAAGGAAGGAAGGAAGGAAGGAAGGAAGGAAGGAAGGAAAATAGCACTCCAAAGACAGGGCCCAGGTTTGGTTCCCAGCACCACAAAGTGGCTCACAATAGCCTGAACTCCAATTCCAGAGGATCCAGCACCATCTTCTGGCCTTTATGGGAACTGCACACATGTGATAGGTACACAGACCATCCATTCGGATAAACATGCAAACACATTAAAAATAAATCTTAAGCTAGGCGTTGGTGGCGCACGCCTCTAATCCCAGCACTCAGGAGGCAGAGGCAGGCGGGTCTCTGAGTTCGAGGCCAGCCTGGTCTCCAGAGCGAGTGCCAGGATAGGCTCCAAAGCTACACAGAGAAACCCTGTCTCAAAAAACCAAATAAATAAATAAATAAATAAATAAATAAATAAATAAATAAATAAATAAATAAATAAATAAATAAATAAATAAATAAATAAATAAATAAATAAATAAATAAATCTTAAAAACAAAACCCATGGTAACATAACATCTTTAATTCTAGCATTTGGGAGGCAGAGACAGGTGGATCTCTGTGACTTTTAGACCAGTGAGTTCTAGGCCACCAAGACTATATAGTGAGACCCTGTCTCAAACAAGCAAAAACAACCTGGAAAACCTGTTCTTTCATAATTCCTTTAACTCAGATATCTGACTAATATATGATTCAGAGAACAGCCAATGATCCAAAACCTCCCACTGGCAATGAAAAACTAACTCTGGGTCCTACAAAAGAGCAGAACACTGGGAAGAATTAAGAAACAGCAGTTTAAGCCCAGGGTAGAGGGGCATGAAGTGGGGCTGGAGGCACATACCTTTAATCCCACACTCTGGGAGCAGAGGCAGGTGAATATTTTGTGTTGGAGATCAGCCTACAGAGTGAGTTTTATGACAGCCAGGGCTACATACAGAAACCCTGTCTCAAAACACAAAACCAAACAAACAAAACAAAACCCAGCAGCTTTAAGGCAGGTATAAGGGCACACACCTGTGATCCCAGTACTTGGGAGGCTGAAACAGGAGGAGTTGGAGGCTAGCCTAAGGTTCATAATTGAGACCTGTTTCAGGGAGATGTGTGTGTTGTATATGTGTGTATGTACACATGTATGTATATATGTATGCATATCAATTTAAAAGGGGCTATGGTTCAATGGTAGAATGCCTGCTTAGAGTGCTGGTCCTTATCAGCACTTCTGGAACTTTGTATGTTAGTCACTGTCCTCACTTTAATAGCACTTTAAATTTCCTTTTGTGCTTAGCTCTATTCCCAGAAATTTCTAGAAAGAAAATTCTGTATCATACACAAAAGCAAACAAGTCATTTGCATGTGCAAGCCTAAGTAGAACAGTAAAATTAAGGAAATGAATGTCATTTATGTAAGATCAGGTATAGTGGTACACACCTTTAGCCCCAACACTTGAGAAGTGAAGAGGTAGAAGGAACCAGCTGAGTTCAAGGCTGGCCAGGACTTATTATGTTCCAGTGAGAGGGGCTGGAGAGAGAAGGTGCTAAGCAGAATTAGGCCTGTAAGTTTAGTGGGGAGTAAATTCTCGAAGGGGTATGGGAGAACCAGGGATCAGACACGAGGAGACAGATCATGATGCCAAGCTGGCCAAGCCCGTCTCACAGACCTTACTAGGACAGCCGGTTGGAAGGATCTGGTGAAGGATGGACACGGTGAAGCTCCTGTATCACCATTTGGCTAAGGCGTGGGTTAGCCTGGCCTAGTTTTGCAAGTACATGATCTATTTGTTCTGAGCTTACTTCTCCACCTTCCCCTACTACCCCCACTCTCACCCAGCTCACCAGTCCTGTGTCCCCTAAAGAGTTTTCTCCTATTTTCATTTCCACAAACATACAGCTAATTCCTTTCTCTGATTCATAGTTATGTTAACCTCACTCTGCTCTAAGCTTACCCAAGAAAACAGTCCAAGAAAAAGACCCATTGGGTGAGGCCATTTTTCATATCTACTTCAAACACATCAGGCAGCCCCAACACAGCACTGACAATGAGCCCAGGTTGTCCTCAGAACAACTGAAGCAGAGGAGGCTATGGAAGGTCATTTACATTTCTATTTTTCCCATGTAGAGTATATCTGTCTGACAATTTACCTCCTGTCCAAATCTTCTAAAGCACAATTAGCAAATCTGTGTAGCAGCATTCCCATTTTAAGGAGCTTTCACTGTCAACCCTTGCTTGGTTCACAGAAACGCCAGTCTCATGCCCTAAAGGCTCCCTTTGCTAGCTCTGCCACGACACAAGACACACACAGGTGGCAGATGCCTCTCTTGGTAACTGTATGCTCTGCACCCATTCATACAGTGCTTCCTTTTCACTTCTTTGATCCAGTACTCCCAGATCCTGAGGGCATAGAGGCGTTCTGATGCTCTGAATCTTGTTTTGTTTTCATTTGGCCTAAAGCATTTCCCACGTAAATGCATTAACTCAAGGAATGTGGTTTTCATGAAACTGTTTATGGCAAGTTCTCCTCCTCACCAGTGTCAGACCTCTTCAGATGGTGGGAAAACTCACAATCTGAAGTCATCTCAATAGACACAGAGTGCCAAGTCAGGGCACTAAAACTCACAATCTGAAGTCATCTCAATAGACACAGAGTGCCAAGTCAGGCTGTTTAACTGGGCTTCTTTGCCTTCCATTGGATCATCCCAATGAGCATGGGATTTCTAGATATTTCCCCTCCATCTTTAGTTAGGTTTCTATTACTGTGAAGAGACACCATGACCATGTCAACTCTTATAAAGGAAACATATAATTGAGGTGGCAGCTTACAGTTTCAGAGGTTTAGTTCATTATCACCATGGCAGGGAGCATGGTAGCATGCAGGAAGACATGGCACTGAGAATTCTGCATCTTTATCCAAAGGCAACAGGAAGTGAACTGAGACACTGGGTGTGGCTTGAACCACCCCAACAGCAATAGACTTCCAACAAGGCCATACCTACTAACAAAGCCATACCTCCTAACAGTGCCATTCCTCATAAGCTTATGGGGGCCAGTTATATTCAAACTATTACACTCTCAGAGCACCTGCATGCTGACCTCCTTCACTTTATAATAGAAACCAAATCACATTACAGCAAATTCCCCCTGTAAGTCACTGAGTGGCAAAGTAGTCTATTGGCCAAAACTAATATGCTTTGGGGGGAAGGGGTTGGTTTTTCAAGACAGGATTTCTCTGTGTAGCTTTGAAACCTGCTCTGCAGACCAGACTGGTCTTGAACTCACAGACATCCATCTGCCTCAGCCTCCCAGTGCTGGGATTAAAGACGTGCGTCATCACCGCCAGGCCTAGTATGCTTTTTACGTCCCTCAAATGCTTACGTTTTGTTTTGTTTTTAAAGAGGGGAGCAGAAAGAATAGATTTTTTTTGTTTGTTGTTGGGGTTTTTGTTTGTTTTTTGAGAATGCCAATTTTTATTTGCCAGGAGGTTGCTAACTGTCCATACTAGTTAGACTGCTGAATTCCAGCATTAGTGGGAAACTCTGTCTCAAATAAGGTTGAAAGGTAGGTGAGATGGTTCAATGGGTAGACACTTTACCCCAAGCTTCATGACCAATCCCTAGAATTCACACGGTAGAAGGAAAGAGCCAGCTCCCACACATACCTCCCCAAGAAGCACCAATGAACATGCACACAGACAGACAGACAGACAAACAGAAATTCAGTTGATTCACTTAAAACGCAGTTGAAGATTTAGAACAGAATCCAGCTTGCTCTTCAAAGCTTTTTACCATAATCACACAGTGCTGTTAGAAGCCAGGAGGTTCCAGCTGAAGACAGTGCTGCTCCTGACACCACAAACACTACTGGATGAGGAATCTATACACAGTCACAACACGGCTCACCCAAAGATCACACTAAGCCTTAAAAGCACACCGCCATTATCATCATTATCTTTGTACCAAGTCAAATGAAAAGTTACAGGAAGTGGAAAAATTATAAAGGATAATAGTTTGCCATATTTCATGCAGTCAACAAATATCAATGTAACATGTACATGGACCAAAAGACTATATTCAGAGCTGGGAAGATGATAAAAGCACTTGTCATACAAGTTGAGTTCCATCCTTGGGTGCTGTGGTGGAAGGAGAAAGCCAACTCTCAAAAGTGGTCCTCTCCCGTCCACTGTGGCATGCACATATTGGGACACACACACATAAATAAAATGTTTCAATTATTAAAAATATTGTTTGGATCTTACAGAAGGTATAAAAAGAGAATGATCCCATTAGTAGCTAGTAACACATGCACGAGCAATAGCACAGAGCTATAAGATAAATTAGGAATGGTATCAAGTTTGATTAGCTCAAGGGAATCGAGGACCTACCCGCTGTAAGACGCTAGAGAGATATGCTGAACTCCATTTGGCTAACAGGCAGGGTTACAGAGCATCAAAAGGAAAGTGGGGATAGAGGGGTTTCAAATTATTATTTCTTAAACTGATAATTTGCCAGTTAGAAAAACACACTAGAGAAAGGGTAAAACTCCATTTGGCACTCAAACAGATGTTTTGATCACACTCAGGATATTAAAATACCTTATCTATAGTAATAGAAGCTCATAATCAGGAGACTCCTTCACTCCTGGCAGTCAATGAT